TAATGGTCAAGAGGCCAACTCCAATGTAGCTTTGTTGGTTTATTAGCTCGACGTTTCGACCGTCTCAGTCTTCCTCAGGAGCATACTAATTACATGAGCAAAATTTAAATTTAAAGTTCATGTCAACAGTAAACATGTCATGACGTAATAATATAAAGATAGAATAGATAACAACGAAACGTGTTATGGTGACTAAAATAGATAAGTTAAAGTAGTTATAATTCATGTAGTAAGCTTATTGATAGTAGGATTGAGTTTTAAAATCCAATAATTTTCTCTTGCTTTTCTGATTTCTTGATTTTGACTTCTAACTTTTTCAATAACCGTAAGTTTAAGAAGGTCGACTCCACAGTTCTTAAAATGTCTGACAGAGGGTATGTTTTTATGACCACCCTTGATGTCGCTAAAACATACAATACATAAAAAAATATACATACATAAAAACATATAACGACTAATGAACTGGTGCTAATAAAAAGATAACAAAAAACCTAATTACAAAGAAAGCAATGGACAAAATACAAGAAACAAACCCTAAAAACTATGAGATAAGAATACTAAATATGTTAAAATGAGTGGCGTAACCAATTGCAAAGAAGCAACGCGGCAAGCATTAAAAAAAGGGAGGCCTACTTTTAACTACAACCGGTAAACCGTAACAAAATCCCAAAACAAGGCCTTTGGAGCCCGAAAGGGCAAATTAGCAACAAAATCCCTGGAGAAGCCCTTAAATGATACTAATCATAATAAGATCCCTTGGCAGGGCCTCTGAGTCCGATCCACACCTAAAAGGCCGACAAAATCCAAGACAAGGGCCTTTGAAAGATCAATTAGTAGCGCCTAATATAAGATGGAAAATTAATTATAGAAAATTCTATTCTTCGAATGAAATTCCCTTCTTTTATTCAAACCCTGGGGTGCCAAAGAGAACAACTGAGCACTCCGATAAGCCTATTTTGTGATTAAAAGCCTATCGATCTCTACAGAGATCGATACAAAATGTGATTTACTTGACTTCTTGCAAGAAATGTCGCCTGCAATACGTGGGATCTACTACTACCGACTTTAAAGTGAGATTTCGAAATCACAAATCTGCTATGCTCACAAACAAAACAACTTGTGAAGTAGCGATACACTTTAACAAAACCCCACACACCCTGGACGATTTTTCGTTCCAATGCATTGATCAGGTACAGGCGCCTAGTGGCTCTGTAGAGTTCGATAGGCTTTTAATCACATTAACCAAGCGTGAGGTCAAGATGGCTAGATATTGGCCGATCGAGTTCTTTTCTTGCATTTCTATGGACCAAGACGAAGTCGAGGTCTATAAAAATGCGAAAAAGGAACGAGGCTAATATCCGAGCCATCTTGACCAAACAAGCTTGGTTAATAAAGGATTTATTGTATTTAAAAGAGATTTCGCTTTATTAAGAATTAAGAATGACTTGTTGACTTGCGCATTGATCCCGCGCACGATGGAAACTCAAAAAAGCGGCAGAAGATAGTCAAAACAAAGAAACAGAAAGCGTAGTCGTTGTATTTTTCTATCTCAACAGATATTGCCTTCTACTTTTATGTATCGAGCACCGTCATGATGTCCTGTACATTTTGATGAGATTGGAATCGATGCAGGGACACTGCGGTCAGCCGACGTCGGGCATGCATAAAGGGGTCAATTTTCATCAGCCGCGCGCTCATTTCCCGCGCAAAATTTCGGAAAACATAAGAAACAACCGCTGTCCTTCAACATTATGCGAAGCGTTCATGAAAATCTTTCAAGAAAGGAAACAAAAGGAGGAAAAAGGATAACTCGAGACTTTTCGTACACAAAGCTTAGATATGATTGCAGGTTTCCTGCGGATTTGCCATTTTTTTATAGCTTTACCAAAAAAGTTAGGCGGTTTTCAAAAACCACGACTTACTGACTACGGTGTGTTTGTCAATAACACAACTTGGTTTCGACACACCACCTAGCCCGACCTAGCCTCGACGTAGCGGCAAATTGAGTGCACATGTTCCGCTACTAGAGCCATTCTTAAGAACGAATGTTTTAATTGACCGAGTGAAAATCGAAAAATGCGACACATGGTCGAAAAATTGAAAGCCTTCATATTTTGCCCAGAGATACCTTATAGTGAACTTAGAAACGTGGTAAGGTTTTTTCCCGAAACTTGCTTCTTTACCCTAGAAAATTCACGAAAACTGAAACGAGCGTCGGTAGCCGTAAAATGGCGGAAATCAGTGCCCCGAATAGAGGCAAATGAACTTTGCTCATGAAAAGCGCAAAAGAAAGCAAGCTCATATCAGTTTGACAAATTTGTATTGGAGGGATCGAGGTAGGGCCTAAGTCTCAAACGGGACCGTTTCGTTCAATTTTAACATCACGGAACGCTTTTAAAAATCACCAATATTTCAAAATCCAAATATCGCATTTTGTAGCACATTTTCAATTATCATTTTCACCATGCGGCATAACTCGGAATCTATTCAAATTAGCTAATGATAAGTGGGAATAGTGTTGTTCTCGAGGATATAAAAACTAATTTGGAGCTTTTCATTTCCGCACAGAAAAACCAGGCTGAACTTTGTGAAAATCGCAACATCGTCATATAAGTCACGACATAATCTGATTAGGCACCCCGTGGTTAAATCCGGAATTCCGAGCACATTTTAGAAGTTAGCACCGTGGTCGATCAGGAAATCAATACAATAAGCTAGCCCTGCATAGCTAACCACGGCAGATTGGTTTTTATCTCTGCTTTCGTTTCAAATTCTCATCCATTTCCCATGGCGGAATTGTTTACAATAACACATTCCTTGAGCTAGCGGAGGGCGTCTGTTTTTCTTTGGGTATTCGAACACCTATAAGTCCTAAGAAAGTTCTGGGGTAAACTTGAGCTTCATTGTGGACTTGAAAGAGGACAATTGAATCATTCATAACGGCAGGTCAAATGTTCTTTGCCGAAGACGTTGAAGACGGGAAGCAATCTGTGTGTAGATGTGCAACACTCAAGCATTTATCACGCAAGGCTGAAATGATTTCAATCTTGTAATTTTACGGCCACGAATATCGATGAATAGCGTTTTTTTAACAAACTTGTTTGTAAGATAATTTTTCTTATCAGTTAGTCATTGCTGTGAAACTTGTTAACTTAGCAGCAGAGTTGAATGTAATAGTGACATTACCTAGAAGAGCCAATAAGCAGAACACAAAACAACAAATAGCTATAGAGAAAAGTTTAGGGAAAGGATGAAAGGTCAGAGTAAAGGCGAAACGCAGCCAAAGCAAGTATGGAGCTGGAAACAGAATGAAGTAGATGGGGTGAACTAGACCTGAGGATAAATGTATGATAAACAATGTGCCATTTGAAATCACGACTACAAAAAAAGAATCTTAGCTGAGTTAAGAACGTTCTTTCCAAATTGAGAGTTCTGGTTACAAAACTCACGGAAATTGATTGGGCTGGAAACTGTTAAAACAACTAAGTCGAAAAAAAGGTAATTCTTTTAATATTTCAGCCAAGACTATTTCAGCTAAGATTATTTCAGCTTATGTCGTGCCGTATAGTCATTTCTGAACACCTAAAGACGGGCGGCAATAGAGATGTTGAGGCCAAAATAGAACAAGTTAATTTAGATCGAGCACCAATTCTTAACACGCTTTCCAGCAATCGGACTAGATCACCAGTTCCGGGCATCACTGTTTTTTAGGCGTTCGATGAAGGAGATGGTCACAAAGATACCGTTAAATTGACGTTCATTCTAGAAGAGTTATCCAGCCATGCTAAAAGAAAAACGCGTAGACCTTATCGCAGAATTAGTAAGGCATTTTTGAGAACAATTTTCTGGCTAACCCTTTTTTCAGGTTTTCATTGTTAAAAATTATCATTTCGAGGAAGATTTCCAAAATGCTGCAAAGCGCCGGTCTAGTCAAACTGCCAAAATGGCGCGGCATGTTGTTCCGGATTTTCTTTAAATTTGGGGTTTCCTTCCAGAGACTTAATGTGTCAGCCTTCTGTAATTATAGAGGCTGTGGAAAGGAAGACAAATAAGCAGTCTCCGCAAAGAATTGCTTCTTATTAACCAAGCGCGAGGGCCGTACTGAGGATTATTGCCCCAAAATCGTGGTAGTATGGAGCGAGCGCAGCGAGGTCCGTAGAAAAATACCGAGAGCCAATATTTCCCAATATAGCTCAAGCAAGCGATGTTACTAAGTATTTTATCATGGCGTTCGGGAAAACTTCTTTAATTTTGATTTCTCGGCTTTCGCGAACAAAAATATACGGCTTATGACCGCTTCCGTAGAAATGGTCCGTATGGCAAAATCCAGACCAAGTAAGAACTAGTCAGAATGCTCGGATTTACTTCAAGACTGTTCTGCCATGTATAAGTTGTTATAACCTTCAGGCTCGAGGTATTTTCATTAATAGTTTATTTTCTCCCTGAGCTTTTTGTTTGAAAATACATGTCCTTGCACCTTTTTCCTTGTGCTTGCGTTTTTCCGCTAGAAATTAATTGCAGAGAAAGTCACGCATGATCACAAGTTTGTTTTATTTTTATAGGCGTAGTCGTTAACTAAATCGAATAAGTTTTGCTTAGTGCACTAATTGACATTCCTTTTTTTAATTTTTACCTTCAAAATATGTCGAATTGGTGTCAGTGACGTTACACACCGATCAATCGCAGCTTCAACATCCGGGGCAACCCACAGGCTTTTGACTGTCGTCCTTTGAACCTTACCTGGGTGGTGTATGGAATTTGAACCGGAAGCGTCAAGTCCTACAGTTTGTATCTCTGCTTTTCAGTGAAACACTCTTCCAAGGTAACATATTCAATATTTATCTGATAAGCAAGTTTTTAAAAGTGTTATTCTCGTGGCCCAAAAAACCCCAAGAAGGGAACAATCCAAGGTGTTTTTTGTGATTGTAAATATTTCGACCTTGCGGGACAAACGTTTGAGTATGTTGAATTTATAGTAGTATCAGAATGCTTCTCGTCTTCAATGCCTTCGGCAAAGAACATTTGACCTACCGTTATAAATGATTCAATTGTCCTCTTTCAAGTCCACAATGAAGCTCAAGTTTACCCCAGAACTTTCTTAGGACTTATAGGTGTTCGAATACCCAAAGAAAAACAGACGCCCTCCGCTACCTAAGGAATGTGCTATTGCAAACAATTCTGCCATGGGAAATGGATGAGAATTTGAAACGAAAGCAGAGATAAAAGCCAATCTGCCGCGGTTAGCTATGCAAGGCTAGCTTACTGTATTGATTTCCTGATCGACCACGGTGCTAACTTCTAAAATGTGCTTGAAATTCCGGATTTAACCACGGGGTGCCTAATTAGATAATGTCGTGACGTAAATGACGATGTTGCGATTTTCACAAAGTTCAGTCTGATTTTTCCGTGCGGAAATGAAAAGCCCCAAATTAATTTTTATATCATCGAAAATAACACTCTTTCCACTTATCATGAGCTTAAACCAGAACCGATTCCGAGTTATACCACATGGTGAAAATGATAATTGAAAATGTGCTACAAAATGCGATATTTGGATTTTGAAATAGTGGTGATTTTTAAAAGCGTTCCGTGATGTTAAAATTAAACGAAACGGTCCCGTTTTAGACTTAAGCCATACCTCTATCGCTCCTATGCAAATTTGTCAAATTGATATGAGCTTGCCTTCTTTCGCGCTTTTCATGAGCAAAGTTCATTTGCTTCTACTCGGAGCACTGATTTCCGCCATTTTACGGCTACCGACGCTCGTTTCAGTTTTCGTGAATTTTCTAGGATAAAGAAGCAATTCTGGGGAAAAACCTTACCACGTTTCTAGGTTCGCTATAAGGTATCTCTGACTGAAATATGAGGATAGTCATTTTTCAGTCGATGTGCCACCTCTCACGTGGTCTTGAAAAAAAGTCGTTCTTAAATGGCTCCATGAATAAAGGGGGTAAACTTTTAAAGAAACTGTGGTGCTGCGTCGGTGGGGATAACAAGGTAATTTGGTAATATCAACTAAGTTTAAATTGTAAATTAGCCACCGTAAAGAGTTAAAAAGCTGACGTTTCGAGCGTTAGCCCTTCGTCAGAGCGGTTCCCGAACGGAGGATGTTTTTGTTACCAAGTATCAAAGCATTTGCTGAATTCTTGTTTTTTTTGTTTGCGTGTTTGTTTTGCAGGAACAAATAGTAATATCTTGTATCTGAACTGTGTGTTCGGGACTTATCCACTCACCGGGATATTCCAGTCAATACTGAGGTTGATTATTGATATGATATTGAATGCAAACAAGACAAATACTGCGATCACAAGAAGCCATGACGTCACAGTTACAAAAAGGAAGAAATTCATCTGGTCCGAGGTTCCCCCATATTTCATATCAGCAGCTATGGCGAATGCTAACAGCAGTGTGAACTGTAAAGATTTAAGTAAAACCGAAAATTAGCAACTGAAGAACGCTTATTGACCCAGTAAGGCATAGATCTCCCGGCTCAAACTTGAAAGTCTCAGTAGCCTACAAACTAAGGTAGGAAAGAGGAAAATCAATTTTAGTGCGAACTCCGTTCGTTTAAATATAAAATATACCTGGCCGCGGTTGTTTTAACGGTGGGTAACAGTATTCACTGGATAGATCTCTATCCAGTAGACAGAGCAAAACTTCTTGCTAACATTTATCCCTCAGAGAGTGATGTTTTCGCTGGCCAGCGTTATCCGCCCTTTAAATAACTGGGCCCTGAGCAATAGGAGCATGCGATCAAGCAAAGGTAAGATAATGTAAAGTCAGAAATCGAGCCAAGTGGCCCATCTGACCAAAATATTGCCCGGTGTCCAAAGCTCAAAATGACTGGGGTATTGCTTCTCATATCTACTTCCCTTGGGGGATCCCCTGTTTACCAGTATTTTGCAACGATTGCACCTAGCCCTTTGACCCCTAGGAGTGACTAACATCTAATTTCTCCTTACAGTAGCATCCCTGAATCACACGATAAAGTAACGAGAATAAAGGAAACGATCACCAACTCTTGATTTTCAACAAATTCTCATTGTCAACACCTTAGGAAATACTTGGAGAACAGTATGGAGAATATGCTTACTGATTTCAGGGTGTAAGAGGTTAAGCCTCGAAT